TACAACGTGCATTATGCAGCTTTACTAAACATTATAATACCATGTAGCAAATAATACTTAGACTACATGATTAATGACTGTGGAACTTCAATGCATAAATCATGAGGAATCGTCTGAGACCATACATGTACAAGTAAACAATCACAATGACTACCATAGACAAGGCACTCTGGGCATAACTGTTATAATGGAGATTTCAATTGCAAGCAGTTGCACTATTAGTGATTTAATTTATAAAACTTTCAACAAAGCATTATTTTCAGTTTAATTTATTTACCAAAAGTTTTGCTACTCAATAAACATTCTTGATAAGGCCTAAATGTTTTTTCCATGCTTAAAATTCATCCTATACAGGTATAATATTATAGTATAGGTAGGTGAAGCAAGATTATAGATAAAACTAAATCAAATACAATTATGCTGTATCATCAGACCCATAACCTGATTATTGTACAATGACAACACAGTATAGACCTGTATAACAATTTCCAGGCCTGGTGGTCCCAAAGTAGTTTTAAAATGAGGACAAGTAGTGTGGTACCAATAGTATCTTCAATGTTCAAAGTACACAAAATTTTACATGCATTATGTAGCCTGGATTAGGCTACAAGGAATAAATTGAACAAAAATGTAAAATTGAGTATTGCGTCATCATTATCATTCAATTCTACTAGAAAATGCAAAATATTAAGGGCCCATTCCATTCAAATATATTACTAGATGGATCATGAGGTGAAAAGCAGGCGACAGCTACATGTGTAGCTCCATAACCGTCGTGTTAGCAATTATACATATACATTTATCATTGACTTATTATACATTACAATTGAAATATCATCTGAATGATGACAAAGCATTATGTGGCACAATATTGCTGATGCATAGTATAGTTCAGGCTCACACATTATTTACACAATTGAATACATGTACAAACCAGGTGCTAGGCTGCAGGAAATCATCAGAGGTGAAGACTGAAGTTTTCAGCATACCATCATCTTTATTGTAACCTTCATGTGGCTTGCTCCGATGCACAATGGCATACAGTACTAAAGGTCTTCTTTCCAGCAGCCATTCTTATAAATAAGGGGTTAAATTTAATACATAACTAGTTAATAACCGGAACTTTCACAGTCATGTGTGATGGGAGGGTTCCGAACTTTTCCTATCTAATGTGACGGGAAAAGTGTACGAACCGGGTGATACCACATATCCTCAAATAAATGTCTGGCTGGGGGGGGGGTTAAAATAATTTGAAGTATCATTATTGAAGACTTATATGTGAGGTCACTGGTTCAAATCTCCTTTATACAAGTTTTTAATTTTTTCAAGGTCCAATACCGACTTATTATAGTCCTTATAATGAGGTGTCACTACCAAATTATTCTTTTTGATTAATATATCTCTGATAATGATCATCAACTATCTGAACAATAATTATTAACTTCATTCTCTCTTACATGATGCTTGTAACCTTTAGCTAGTATCACAACACTATCAGTATGATAAGAACTAGTGCACAACCATTTAATGAAAGCTAATTTTTAAGTTGGTGCTTGCTTTTAATTGATCAGCGGATTATGTCTTTTAAATAGTATATTGTAGCCAATTAATGTAATGGATGTATTCAAATATTGACCCCTATTTAAATGCATAGAAAAACTACCATGACACATTTATGGTATTGATCAACACTCATATTGAAACCTAAGCAATACTAGTTTTGCACAAATTTAGAACAACAATAAACACACCATTATGACTAAAAATAGCATTTCTAAATCCTGTATTAATGCTTAAAAAGGTTCGCTTTTCAAATTAGTACAATGAAATCAGCAACATGCACAACATCTTTTATTGTAGATTTTTTATGGAGCAAAAATATTTTAGGGGGTATGTGGCTATTCTTAATAAAATCCTGCCTTGAAAGACCTCATGTTATAGTGATAGATACACATAATTTGGTTTGATTTCCAATAAGTATTAAGTACTAGAGGTCTTTTGTTCAGAAGTGTTTAAGTAGGTTACTACTGTTAGAATTGGCCACAACTTTAAAATGCTTTATTGTTCACGTTCTCATCAAATTCATAAATCCAAAAAGTTTTGACAGCAATTGAGAAGTATTGCATGTTGTGTTTGTTTTTAATAGTAAAATATTCTCATTTTTAATTTCGAAATGAACTAGTGATTCATTAACTTTTATTTAAGTTAAGTGGGCATGGTTGTACTTGTAATTGATTTTTTCGATACAGGATACTGCTTAGGAATTGAAGAATAAGTAAAGTTGGAACTAATTTCAATCAAAATTTGATATTTTTAGAAATTTTGAAAGTTACTTTAAACTTTGGCAATTAAATTAATGCTTCATGTGTACTAACTGTTAAACAGATTGTTGGTCTCTGCTTTGACTTCATGCTTGCTGGTCATGACACTACTAGCAGCATGCTTGCCTTACAATGTAATACACGTAATTTCATTTACGTGTAGATACATGTGTGTGTATGAAGGAATTAAACTGTTACTCCACAGTACTGTGTTGTTAAAATCTTGCCAAAAGTACACATACATGTACATGTACATCTAACATATACACGTA